ATTCCATAACAGGAATCAATTTTTGTTGCTAGTTGAAGAGAATACAGAATTATTTCTGGCAGAGAGCAAGGGGACAAAAAAAGCCACCATTATTGAACCTTCTCTATCAAGCACTATATACTATCTTGTAATCCTCCACCACATCCTAAGTATTTTTCCATTTCCCCTTTTTCTTTTGAGATTTTTCACACATTTAAGAACCATACAGAAACCAAACCATTTGAAAGACTGCAGTAATTTATTGGGTCTGTGTGACCAGGTTTTGGTGGTGGGAGGCTAAAGGGGCGGCTTCTGTGAGAAGCTGCCAGAAGTTTGTCCAGGCAATGCCAGCTGGCTCCAGGATGGACCTACTGCTGACCAAGGCTGAGTCCATCAGGAATGATAATAATGCCTCTGAGATAACATATTCAAGAATGCACAAAAGTTATTGCACAGATGTTCCTGTGGCCACGGAAGAGAGGAGTGAGAATATGTGAAAGAAACACTGCAGACACCAAGGTCAGTGCAGGAGGCAGGAGGAGGGGCAGGAGGTGCTCCAGGCACCGGGGAAGATTCCCCTGCAGCCCGTGGTGCAGCCATGGTGAGGAGGCAGCTGTGCCCCTGCAGCCCACAGAAGACCACGGGGATGCAGAGATGCACCTGCAGCCCGAGGAGGAGCCCACGCCACAGCAGATGGATGCCTGAGAGGAGTTTGTGAACCCACGGGAGAACTGTGCTGGAGAGGGTCCTGGCAGGGACCTCCACACTGCGTTTCCTGGCAGGATTTGTGACCGCTTGGGGGAGTCCCATCAGAGCAGCTGTGCCTGAAGGACTGTGTCCCAGAGGAGAGTGACCCACGCTGCAGCAGTCTGTGGAGCAGGGATGAACTCTCCTCCCTAAGCAGCAGCAGGAACATGTGATGACTGACCACAAGCCCCATTCCCCATTTCCCTTCACAGCTGGAGAGGGGAGGTAGGGCCCAAGGAAGAGGGAGGAGTGGGAATAAGGTGTTTTTAAGATTTCTACTTCTTGCCCTGCTGAAATTTTGTTAGTAAGACATTCAATTAATATTCCCAAACTGAGTCTGTTTTTCCTGTGATGGTAATCAGTAAGTGACCTCTCCTGGTCTTTATCTCAATCCATGGAGAGGGGGGTGATAAAGTGGCTTTGGTGGGTGCCTGTGCAAATTTTAAAGACCAATAAAGCAAACTTTTTTTCCCATTCCCCACTTAAAAAGTCTTATTAATTCAGAGATTGGTGGTATCACCAAACATGAAATCTACTGAGGGGAGGGGAAACTGAATAGATTGCAAGTGTACATTTGCAAATTCCAAAACAACTCAGAGTGCATGGAACTTCAAGACACCTGTATAAATATCTCTCTTCTCATACACTGCCATCTCAAAGACTTCAGGGACTCTCCTCTGCACAGGCAGACCCCTTATCACTTCACTTTCATCCCCCTGAAAGTCTAGGACTGAACTGTTCCTTAAAACAACTTCCATATGCGTTACCTGCCAACTGAAACAAATAATTGTTTTTCAAACACCAGCAACTTGAATGAGCATGTTTGAACGAGAACAGGAATTCCAGATCTTAGAACAACAAAATGTGTTTGAAGCACAGTGAAGTGTAGCCATTTGGGAAACCCTCTGCACATCTACACCATGGAAATTCTCCTAACAGATGTGACTACTGACCCCTCTACCATTACTCTAAACAGATTCAGATTTTTACTCAAGATATTCTGAAATTCCCATATTGTGCTGTAAACTCAGAACATACATATTTTAAGGACACGATAAAAATATCCTTTCTTTACATAGACTTGTCTGTGGCACACTTTTTTTTAAAGGATGGTACATATATCTGGTTTAGAAATAAGATTAGAATGTTTCTATCACAGTGTCTTTGTAAACATTAAAGATATTATAAAATGACCCTTATCTAAATCGGTCTTAGATTTTGGCAAGCTAACAAGTAGCTGCTTATTATTTTAATATTTAGTATTTTAAAATACATTTGAAGCCAACCCCTAGATTTATTTTAACTAAATTCTGTATCAACTGCAACACTTTAGAAACACTTCACCTAACATTTCATGAAACTTGCTGTACCTTCACAACCTTGGAACCTCAGGAGAAGGACATTCTTGACTTTTCAACCTCGTTTAGAGGGACCTACTCCATAAATGACTACTTAGGACTGCTTCAAAATAGTACCATCAGAAAGAAACATTTATCTGCTTTGTTTTGGCTCAAGGGAAAAAAAAGGGAAAGAAAACAATTATTGAAAGCAAAATTAATCCCTGTATTAAATTTTGGTTGAAAGCCACATTTTACCATTCCTAATCTAAACACTAAATAGAAAGTATGCAAAAAAAGTCAATCTGGCATGTTTCTAATGACATATCCATGTTACAATAATCTGGTTGCAAAACACATTCCCATCAATACAAACATCTTCAGACTGTACTGCAAATGCATTCCTTGTATGCTTTTCTCACTCTAAGATCTTAAATTGTTCTCTATCCTACCCCATAAAATTCCCATCCTCAGATACAGAAATAAAATACAAAATTTAGCTTCCTTTTACTACACAGGAACTTGTCTAGATTTCTTTGAAATCTTGTTGCCTGCAACACTTTCAACAGGAGCTCCTGAGCCAAACAGAGCCAACCTAAAAATGAAGGGATTCTCAGAGCTTCATCTGACCTTGCTGAGCCTGACAGTCTTGACCTAGCAATAGGAAGGCTCTTGTTTTGTGTGCTCTGAGATCAAGATGATGAGACTTACTGGAACAAGCTGGGATGAGCCAGGGGCAACGGGAGTAAAGAAAGTCCTGTTAGGAGGGCACTGCAGAACAGAGCAGCTCCAGAGTGGAACCACTGGCACTTCCTGTTTTGAATCAACTGATTCACAAGATGACACGGATGTCTGGTTCCTCCACTCCTGGAAAATGCTTTGAGCACACTGACCTGTATTTCCCATTTGTGGTCTGAGCCTCAAGTGGCTCAGCCTGTTTGTTATGGAATTAACTCCTAGCAAATAGTTTGCCACCAAGGAAATTCAATGGCAGCTAACCCAACCTTACAAAATAATTGTTTCCTAACAGAACACAGAGGATCTTGGGCAGTCTCGATGATTAATAAGAAAATCATTGCAGGAATACCATCTCATCACTGGCACCCTTCATTCTCAAGCAGCTGGTATGTGTTTCGGGCTACTAAATGAATGAGCTCCATCACATGAAAGATGCTCCTACCACTACTGGTTTGGGGGACACAGAAAGATGACAACTCTATGGATAGTAGAAGCTGAAAAGTAGGAAGTTATTCCCAAACTGTCAACTAAAGTTATTGGTTCAGCAGTTGTACGTTAGAGATCTTTCATGTCCTTCTAACTCGTGCCTTTGCTGCAGGCAAGTCAAACTAAGGGAGTATTTGACATTTTAATGGGTAGTGCTGGAAAGTCATCTGAGTCCAGTTTTCAACATCACAAAGAAAATAATCATACAACCAAAATCTTTCTATTAGAGACAATACTATATGCAACACCATTTGCAGAAGGGAATTGAACACACATAACCCTACTGATTACATGTAATATACTTATCTGAATTTCTCCATCTGTATTGCACTAGAAATACAGAAATTCATGGGTGTAATTAAAATAAACCTATTTACCCTACTAAGTAAGAGGTAAGAAAATTTTACACTGCCTCACAAAATAAAGTAGAATTAGCAAAAGTACAGTGAAGGATTGTATTGCAGAGATTCCATAATAAAGAAAGATAGTTTATTTTATCTTGAGAACTGTCAGACATTTGATACTCTTCACTGAACCCTAAAATGGAAGAGACAACCAAAGAAATTGAATCCAAATTTCTCTCTGTAAACCAATCAGGAATTAACAAATAAACAATCAGGCAGCAATTTTAGATGCAAACAAAAGACACCTTCTGTATATAACAAGCATTTAAAACTAAAACACTCACTTCCACAGTTTTTTGTAGGTGTCCAAACTCATAAATGGGCTCAAAGACATACCTGAAAGCAGGTCAGGCAATGAAATACAATACTGCTGATCTCTCACTCAGGAAGCACATAAAATGTCTGATCAACACCTGGGCAATGTACCCTGCTCACATCTGGTATTTATAGTATTTCCCTCTTTTGGCATTCATGATCACTTTTTTCTTTTCTCTGTGTCCTTTTGCTATTGAAGTTCAGGTATAAAAGATATGAAAACAAGAGGCAGTACATAGGAGCAGGAATAATTAGCACAAGGACTTGCTTTTATTTGGTTCTGATAAGCTCTCCTCTTCTTGCCATTAGTGTGCTTGCTGACTTAGAAGCCTGTAATCAGTAGTAAAAAGAGAACCAACTGTGTGAAGGTAGAGAAATTTTATGGCGGAGTGATGTTTCTATTTTATTTTTTCCCAGATCCGCTATTTACATCCAGGGAAAGCACAAAACAACCTCCCTCCCTCAACTGCTTCTAATACTACTAATCTTTAAAAAGACAGTGGACTAGAAGGCAGAAAAAGTAACCTGTGAAGGTGGTTGAGGGTGTGTATTTTATGTTTCCCTTTTTAAAACAGTATTGCATCCAGCATTTTCAACCCAACTACTTATGCTCATTCCCTGCTACTTGACGCTGTGTAAAGCTTTTACCCAATCACATCAGCAAAATAACAGACTAAACTAATAATCAACTAAATCATTAGTAGTATTTGTGATTAAGCAGATTCTACCAAATAAAATTTGCCTGACACCATTACTCTTTTCCAACGTGCCTTTGTACAACAGATGTCTCTGTAGTTGATGCTGATATGTCTTTTTTCATAATTGAGACATGGACAGAGATTAGATGAAACAGCTGCTTTATTATGGTATTAAAGATGGTTACTAGCATAAAAAAAGGTGGCTCTGAAATTTTTTCTAAGATATGGTGGCTGCTTATCATATGCTTTTTATCCCTGAAATCCTTGAAATAAAATTTTGCATGCATTAACCTTACCTCTGAATTTGGAAACAGAATGAAACTGTATTGTACTTCAAGCTTCCTCCAAACTGTTTTCATCTGTACTTCCACTTCATTAGTTCGAAGGTGGTATTATGGAAATGCATATTTCTATTGATCTGCAAAACACAAAGAGGATTTGATTAAAGAGACAGCTGAAGAAACTGTGCCGATGGTTTATGGTCTAGAATGTGAACTGCACATTGCAGATACTTGTATCTGGAATTACAGAAGCCATCTCCTATGATGAGTGATCCCAGCTAGAAACTTCTTAAGTCATGCATATCCAACAGCTGCACAGTTGCAGTATATTCGTAAGACACTGACACAAAAAATAAATTTCAAATAATTTTATTGTTATCAGTAATTGCTTACATTAAAAATGAACCAACAAAAATATTAATGTGCTTTAGTTTAAACACATTTGTCTTAGTTGAATGGTGTTAAAAATCTCTGTAGAGAGTCTTCCTATAAAAATAAGCCATTCCCATCTCTCCTCATAACTCTTGGATTCTCCTGGTCTATACCAGCCAGATTTGCAAGCCTCCAGACACCAGGTTTCCAAACTTTTTCTTAAAAAAAAAAAAAAAAAAAAGCCTCAGCAGACAGAGAATCACAGAATCAACAAGGTTGGAAAACACATTTGAGACAATCAAGTCCAACCCATGACCTGACACCACCTTGTCAACTAGACCATGGCACTGAGTGCCACATCCAGTCTCTTCTAGAACACCTCCAGGCATGGTGACTCCACCTCTATGGGCAGCACATTCCAGTGCCCAGTCTGTGAAGAACTTCTTCCTGAAGTCCAAAGAAAGGACACATTGTTGGTGACACCACTGGAAAAAACAAGCCATGTACATAAATTCCATCTTTATTATAAACATCAGAGAATCTGTAAGACTGCAGCTCCACACCAAAAATCCACTGGTGTCACACCACTAGTTCTAGTACACCAGAAACTGCAATATACGGAGAAATAATAAGTTCCTTGTAGCTTTTTGTATTTTTTTGTACTAGTTGTGCACAGGCATGATTACTCCTGGGAACTGAAAAACAAGCCAAGACTTTGGACAAAGGTACTGGCAGTCAGGTGGGTTTGATTTTCAGTTTGTGTTTTTGAACTGCTGTACATCCCAGCATCAGAGGAAAGGCTGGCACAGGCTCTTACCCAGTTCTCTTAAGGATTGTGAGCAAGCCTGACTTGTATCAAGTCCCAGCATCTTCAGATGCATTGATAGCTAAGATGGGCTTATCATCTTTGTTAGTTTGATTCCACAGTGAGCAGATGCCACCCATTGCCAACTTTTCCCATTTTATCAGTGTCACAATTTCTGAATGTTTCCCTCATCTGAAGCTTTTAAGGAGATCCTACAGGAATTTTCCCATTTAGAAGTTCCAGTCTTATGACTGTGATCATAACCTTGATAATCACACAAACACCACCACTTTAACCACTGGTGAACACCACCATTGCAGCCATGCTGTTAAACAAACAACCACTCACACAGTGTAGAGATGTAATGACCTTTGAATACAAAGGCTGACGGGAGGGGTGAAAACAGAGGAACCATGTGCACGATTTCCAGCAGAGAGAGTTGCAGCACCCATCCTCCTCCTCTTTTCCTTCCTAAGCACCATAAAGACCTTTACCATTAGAAGAAGGTCAGAATACTTTACTTCTGTCTCCACATCCATTTATAAGCACTGCTCCTCACACACTGAGGTTTAATAGTCTTGGTAATAAATAATAAATTTGTGCTAAATGGTAACCCGAAACCATCCAGAATATCAGATAGCACCAATTCTTAAAGACAACTGTCTCCTCTGAGCAGACAAGCTGACACTTGACTTATTTCTTCCATAGTAAAACTGAAAAAACATTCTAGCCATGCAATTGTGTTTGTAGAGATTGTTTTCATTTTGGTAAGTAAAGAATCTGTAAAATACACCCATCCCTTCTCTCTCTAACCAAGAACCTCAAGTTCATTTTTCGGTGGACTCCAAAAAAACAACAGAAAAAAAGTTGGCATGCTTTCTGTTTTTACAACACCTCCAATCTCCCTGTATCTAGTATCTGATTTATATAAAGTCCACTTTGTAGTATTTAAAGAGTTTACTTTACAAGAATAAAGAAATTTCTGAACAATGCAGCTCAGAGTTTTTTTGTTTTGTTTTTAAAACCATGTCCTCCTTATATTTTTCCAAACTCCCAAACTGATGAAGTTCAATTCTGTAAGTATTCATTGCCTTTCCTGATTCCAGCCCCATGGATCAGATATCTAAGCTCTTTTACTAAACAACTTTATTTTGGTGAACTTCCTGATCTGCATTGACTCTAGGTATGTCTATATTAGCATTTAATTCAAATCAGGACTGCACTTTTGAAGTCCATCTCCCAAACAACCCTATTTTCTTGCTTTGCTTTACATTGCAAAACAGTCATCAAGTACATGAACCAGATTTCTTTTGAATAAAATTAGATCATGGAATGAGCTTCAGGTGTACATTGTACACGCTCCAACCACCAAGAGGAATTCAGCCACAGAATCAGACCAGGACCAGCTTGAAATAAAACTCTAACCACCTGTATAGCATGGATGCCAGGTTCTCAGCACCTGACAGATCTGATCTTATTACACTACACTGCTTGGTAATGTGGACACAGACTCTTTTATGACTTACTGAATTTTTGTGTCAGTTCCAGATTCATCTTTCCTGTTTCTAAGAGAAAAAAAAAAAAATAAAACCTCTCTCAGAGATAGGACAGAAGTTAATGATAATTATTAAATTATGGGAGTGACCTCACTGTGTTACTATTTCTTTCACTTCTTCATCAGCATGAAATGCTACTTGAGAACATACTCAATTTTATAAAAATCAATTTACTTAAATATTTACTTTTATACACTTACCCAAACTGCTTAATTATTAATATATAAGTTTTTCAAAATGTTTTGTGCCATTCTTGATGGCATCTTCCAGAGCAGTGCTATCAAGTAGGAAATACAAGTGAATAAATTATTTGCACAACTGTATCTTCACTTTATTAGAATTTGCTAAACTACAGCAACTATAAAAGGCACAACTTCAAAAGTACAGAGCCTCACAGGGCTTGTCACTAGTTACATATTAAATCCAGACTTACCTACAGATTGTTCTGAGTAGGAAGATTAAATTTGAGATCTTCAAATACTATCAACTGAAAAATAGCAGCACTCAACAGGGGAAAGGAAAAATCTGAATTACATGAACACACTAGCTACTACATAACCCAGAAAACTGTAGAATTTTTGCCACTGGCAGGCCCCAGGGAACAGTCAGAATATCTAAACTGAGTTGATTTAAACCTCATTCAGGAGTGGGGGTGGTTCTCCTGCTAGCAGAGTGCAGGGAGCTGCAGCTATGAGCAGGACAGACAGACCACAGAGACTCACAGTGGCAAAGCACAAGTCAGCCTGACTTGCCTCGAGGAGCAAACTTACTCACCCTGTGGATTCCTTTTTTCTTTTCTTACCACTTATCTCCAGTTACCTCTTCCCTTCTCAGTAGTTCCAGTTTCCTCAGTTCCAGGGCCACATCCAACTCATTCCCTCACCTGTCTCTTCTTTTGATGCCAAAAATCTTTCTTGGCACTTGACTTCTGCACTCCATTCATTCCCACTTTGCTCCAACTGCCTCCCCAGTTTTCAGGTGAATTACTTTATTCATCTTAAATTATCTTTCTTCCTGAAGAAGGCTGCTACTTGTTAAATACAGTGTGTATTTAAGGAACAGAAGTTTGTAAAGTAACTTGAAGTCACATAAAAGTTGAATTAATTCAAGTGCAATTAAGTACACGATCATACAAGGACTCATTGGTAAAGACAGGGTTAAATACTTGACCATTGACTCCAGCTTCCAGTTACTTCTTTTCCTGCTCTTTCACTTCATCCAGCCATCCATAGAGCACTTCTGCAGGGTGGCCATTCAGGTAAGCATACCTTTATTTCAGTTTATGAAACAGAACTTGTTTTGGAGTTTCTGTAAATTCAGATCATGGTGGCACAAACGTGGGCTTAGGTGATACCAGACCCACAGTTACATCAGAAAAAAAAACGAGGGCAAAACCATTCAGCATCTTAGGGTGACAGCAAAGGGGAACAGGAGAAAGCAAGTGTTGCTCACAACATGTCTCTGTGCAGTGTCAGAGTTCACGGCCAGCTGACAGCTCGGGTAACCAGAGATGGGAGAGGTTTCAGAAGCAGAATTATTCCTTTTCAGGTAAATTATAGCCCTAGACAATAGGCTTTTTGTTAGAAATCCATGCAAAATGAAAATACACTGCAGACCCATATGGCAGCCTGGAAGATGCTTCAGTTAACAATCTCATGACTGCCACTAGAAAATACAGCCAGAATTCCTGTTATCTATTGCTTTTACAGGAGTACTACTGCTCTGAAATACGAGTTGAATTGCAAAGGGAAAGAAGTCACATCAGATTTGCGTATCTTACTTCATAGTTCATGTCCAAAGATAGGAGTATATTAAAGAAACCTTTTTCAACAAGTTTACACATGAGCTAAACACTCACAGCACACTGGGAAAAGCAAACATCATACTGTATGGGAAATTTGGGGCTTGCTGGCTTTGTCTGTCAAACAGTGAAGGTATATGAGCAAGAACATCTCATTGAGCAAACAGCCCTTCCAAATACAATGAGACCAATTTATGAAATAAAATAAATTGGCTGAACAAACACTTTCCAGTCCCTGGACACCAAGTCTTTCAGGTAGCAAGAGGGAAGTAAAAGCCTGAGACATGGTTCAAGCACATTTATCTTTGAGGCAAGGTCGTTCAAAACTGCTCAAATCATGTAAGTAAAAATATACCTCCGTGAAAGGTAATTTTAAAAATTAATTTTATAGCTACCTTCCCTTGAGTTTTAATTAAAAATAATTAAGTTATTCTTGCAAGTTATTAAAAATGCAAGGAATTAGACAACATTCAAGCACTTCATGATTTACAGTTCTTCACATCTGTATTACAAATTTGTATATATATATTTGTATATGTATATATATATCCTATATATCCTCCCTATATATCTGATCAAAACATTCAAATTAGTTCAGGATAT